GATTATCCAAGGTGTCCTCACTGGTTTCAGTATTTGGTTTATCATTTCAATATAACTTCAGTATTTATAAACCTCTATTTAAAGTTTTTTTTTGCCAGTTATAAAGAGTAAAAGTAGAGCAACTGGGCACCTTTGCATTCAGCTGTGTAACAATACATATATGGTGCAATGCTGTAGTCTCTGTTACCTGTGGTGTTGTTTTTTTACTAGGGTAAAAGGGTTCATCCACTGCTCCTCACAAACAAAACATTATGTCACATTGCGTGAACAATGGATCGTAAGCCACTGAAAATAGTGAAAGCACATGTGCATGTTAGAAGGGCGGGAGGTGGAAAAGAGCCAGAGTGGAAAAGTAGCTGCAGCAGATTGATGATTATAAAAGTTTTTACTAGCTGTGCCACCTGAGGAAAGTGACAGGCTAAGAGCCAACAATGTAAACCACCAAAGTGTGATGTCATGGGCCAACCAGGCATGACCACACGTGACTCATGACACACACACACAGCGATCCCTCCTCTGTTGCTTATGCAACCAGGTAAAAAAGAAAAAGCGGCAGTTGTTGACAGTGCTCGTGGTGTCTGGCTGCCAATGATGATGACTGCAGTGTGAGGGAAGCAGAAAGGAGTCTGATGCCAAAACAAATAAAGCATGGCATCTGTGTGCTTATAACAAAGTCTCATTATCGTTCTCACTGCATTGGATTTCACACAGCAGTGATAGCAGGGATTTCCTTACAGTTTAAATCAACCATCTGAAGCTGTGATCACCCTTTTATAGACTCCATTACTTTATATATATATATGTATATGTGTATATATATATATGTGTGTATATATATATATATATATACATATATGTATATATGTATTTGTTCTTAGAGTCTCTTTTTTCTTGGAGGGCTTATGCGCATGTGCTTCTCATTTTTTTCTTTGTTTATTTATAGAAGCCATTCTGAGCTGAAGTGAGAGAAAACCCTGTTTACTGTAAATTCTGCTGCAGCAGCAAGAACTTTAAGAAGTGCTAGAACATTTCAAGATCCATATATATGGATGCATTGTACACAAAAGGAGCAGTTTATTACAGCTTTCTTATGGCCTGTATTTCTTTTCGTCCTTTTAGAATATTTTTGAAAGAGTTGTTCAGTTTTGGAGATATCAGCTGTAGAGATATCCACGTGAATAGAACTCAGAGCGACAAATGTTTAATGTAGGAACTGTTTTATGTCTTCTAAACTAAACTAAAGCCTTAACTCATAACTGGGTTCATACTAAAACAATCTAGGTGGGTAAATATGAGTCCAGGCAAGAGGGAAGACATATAAACCAGATTTGGATATAAATGTTCTCTATACTGATATATTGCATAAAGTACCTGTGATTTATAAAGAACTAGTTCCAAATTCTTCAGCTTCACCTTAAATTAATTACTACATGGTTGAAACAGTTGGATGGTGTGGACTACGCTTATAGGCCAGGTCTGCCCCAAGAAACCATCCACCCCCTTCCGCTTTCACTGTACTACTGATTATACTGTAAGAAATATTACTCCACACTAGCTCGGCTGTGAGATATTTAGCAGCCACATTGGAGAGAGGAATAGGAATAATGTGAACATAATGTAGCACATATATGAGCGCATGTTGACTGAAGAAGAATGAAAAACAGAATACTCAGCATCATTTCCTCTCTGATCTAATCTTCTACATGATTAGTGTTTGTTTTGTTGTCAGCTGGATGCAGGCAGACACATTAATGAAATAACAGATTAGACCTTTCCTTTTCTCATTGCTCATGGTATCATAATGAAATCTTCTATCAGTCTAGATTATCTGTGCTGCTCTGGAATAATTGTATCAGCTGAGTAATGAGAAAACATCCCTGCACATGCATGTTTTGTTCGAACGCCCCAGCTGTGAGGGAATATCTTGGTTGCAACACCATCTGCTGGATGTAAAATGCTAGAACCAAATGAAGTGCTTGGGCTTGCTTTGTTTTGGGGTTTTGTTTTTTGCTGTTGTAGCCAAATGGTGCATAGATTTTCAAAATAAAAGTTGCTAATTGGCTTGTTTTTCTTCTTCGTGGCAGGCGATGATCTGATGCGCTGTGTCGACCTTTATAATCAGTCGCAGTCCAAATGGTTTGAAGAGATGGTCACCACAAGCCTGGTAAGAATGCATGAGTTTTACATGTGTTAGCATAATTTAGTCAAAGTAATATTTTGCGATTACTTAAAATGTCTGTACACCTTTAAAGGTGCTTTTTGGATTTACCTTCTGAAGAATTAACTGAAACTTTCACCACCAAGGGTAAAATGTTACCATTGGTTATTTCTAATATGTCACTCGTGCTTCCATGGTGCCTTTCAACTCAATGTGAGCAAAGTGCTCTGTACTACAAAGTCTTATTCACACAAGCATTCATACAGTGCTTTTAGCTATATATAAAAACTTTTTTTGCCCACTTCCAGGCCTCCATTGTGATTAAAAACAGGCCCCTTAATGACTTGCCTGGTTAAATAAAGATTATGGTCACTTATTACACCATCCTGTGGTACAAGTTAGTATTAATGTTGGGTATTAACTTTAATTACCCTTTAATACCCAACATATAAGTTTTTTGGTTTTTTTTTTTGCATTTTTACGTCTATTTCAGGGTTTTGTGGTTCATTGTGTGCTAGTTTGATCTGAAATTACTTTTTCTTTTTTCTTTTTATCCATTCCATTCAGTTTCCTAATAGTGAATTTCCAAATGAGTTTTGCGAATTCACTGCACTTGATGCTGAGTTTCGGTAACTTCTCTGTGACTCAGCTGTTAAAACTGATCTTTTTCTCAGGAGCTGGAACGACTGGAGGTCGAGCGGGTGGAGATGATCAGACAGCATCTTTGCCAGTACACCACCCTTCGACATGAGACAGACATGTTCAACCAAAGTGTAAGTGCAACGTCTGCTGTCTTTTGCAAGCAGCAGGTAGTATACACCAAGGCGTCATTCATTCATCCATCCATCCATCTGTTCTCTTCCACTTATCCAACTCAGGGTCTATCCCAGCTAGCATAGGGCAAGAGGTGGGGTGGCCCCATTCATATGGGAGTTACAACACATATGAGAGGTGGACTCATTTATATAGTACCAGCTGTGATCTGTGCTTCCCAAATAAATTATACCTGGGTTCAGGGCTAGGGCCTCTGCTGGGCTTGTTCTATTACTTAGGGTCTAATAGCCTGATTGTATAGTTACCTCACTAGTAGCAGCAGAGGGAGGCAAAGAGCTACTTTCTCTGAGTGACTGAAGCATGAAGAAGAGGCTAAAGTTTCTTGTTTGACGTTTCAGCTGTTGTTTGTTCTTTCAGACCATGGAGCCAGTGGATCAGCTACTGCAGTGTGTGGACCCAACCAAAGACAGAGAAACGTGGGTACGGGAGAATAAAACTGGAGAAATTCGCCCAGTGGACATCGAGATCTGATATCGGCGCTATCTGATGAACTCACACCCAGATACAGCAAGCTCGAGGCTCCGTGCCGGAGGAGAGGAAGTCTGTGCTGGGATCTTCCCCCTCCCACGCATGCACACACTGATCTGTATGTGATTCCTAACAGACTGAGGGATGGTCAGTTTGTGCTGAGCTATTCTTTACGTCCTGACAGCCCCCCTGCTGACAATGATATCAGTGTCTGAGGGAGTTTTTTGAGGGATGACGAGACCTGTCATAGTTTTGTGTTATACAAGCTGTTACTCGGCACAGTGAATGGGAACTTTATGTATATTCTTTAGTAAAGGATGCTTAGGTGAGGCAAATGTTTAAGAAGCACCAACATGTTGTAAGTGTTGAATAGCTTTGTTAGGCAGAAGTGTAATGCTAATACTCCAGAAATGCAATGATTTAACAGATGCTGCTAAGCAAACTGCATTCAGAAAAAAAGAGTTGCTCTGTTACTTTGTAGCAGAATGAAGTACTTTAATGTCTCCAGTGTGTACATGGTGACTTTGCTAGACTCCACCCTTTAGTTACTGTTGCTAGATCTAATTTTAATTAAAAACAAAATGCAGCTTATTATGGCAGTGGTGTTTGAAGGTAAAGTTTTTTTTCTAATGGTGGGTCTTCGGTTCAATCTATGGTAAAAAAAAAAAGCAGGCTTCTCTTTTGTAACACAGCTGTCGCAAGTGTTCAGTTGATCCACATCTGCAGACTCTCACATTCTGTGTAAAATCAATGCGAGCCTCCCACCTAAACCCACCAGAAACTGATGGCTTCTTTTCATACAATGACTTTATTTAATGAGGCCAAGCTAAATTTTACTTCACACCAAGTGCTGTTCCTCAAAGTTTGGCTCTTCTGTTATTGCACACACAAACAATTTAAGCAGGGGACATGAATCCCATTAAAGATTCAGACACAGTTAATAAATGGTGGGAAATCAGATGCTTTATGGGACTGCCACCAACAAGCTGCATTTCCTAAACTATGACTGGCAGTAACTGATCATCACACTTAGGAGTTGGGCAATAGCCAACGGTGAATTCCTGAGGACTAAAATCCCAAATCTGGCAACACTTCACAAATCTAATTTTCTCCTTTTTTAAATTTCTAATAAGAATTTTAAATCAGCCAGTTGCACTTTACATTCAGATGATTTTTAATCAACTTTTACTGTAAATTGCTGTTCATATACAAAGACATCTAAACACAAGTTGCTACAGACTTGTTTTTGGTTATGTTCATGAAGCATAACTGTGACATATATGTGTAAATATGTTTTAAGGTGATTTGCTCTGAAAGGGGATCGTAGTGGAAAGAATGTAAAATAGATTAAATAGATTTTTACAGAAAACATACGGTAGATATTTGGTACTGATAATATATTAAACATTCAAGTGCTTTATACACAAGAAAACATCTCTAACAGTATGATAGAGTTTTGGAATATGAATCATTTGCTTCAGTTGGATTTGGTAACCGTACTGCAGAAGCTAACTGCCATACCAAATGTTCTTGTCCAGTATTACTGCTTAGTACTGCTTGACTGCTAAAAGGAGACAAATGAGATGTTTTTGTACATTAACAGCTAAAAGTTGTCATTTTTCATTAATAAAATGGAAATACGTATCTCATGTCTCAATGCGTTGCTTTGTGGTTTGTTTGTTTCCAAAAAATGAAGAAAAAAAGCAAGAAAACAGAGTTAATGGGGGAAAAAAAGGTCTTTTATTTCCTTAAAAAACATATTTTTACATTCAACAGCATATTTGGTCAGGTCTTGTTACAGGTTTAGTCAGTGAAAAGTTCAGACACATGCATTTGAAATCTGAAAATACACTGACATTAATGGCCTAAACTACTCCATGTGCTGACAGCACCCCAGCAACACTTCATGATAGTGACTGAAGTCATTTATAAGGCAAAAGTTAATCATGAAAAAAAGTGTTTTGTATTTAAGTCACCACTTATGTACGGACTCAAAAACTTCCCTTTAGCCTCTCGCATGTATGGTTTAATAAATACTGCAGCCAGTTTGAACCTTATTTATCTTAAAGGTTGTCACGCATTTGCTTAAATGAAGGAAATCTTGACTACAAACAGTAGTTTCCTGATGATCACATCGGAAAAAGAGAGCCGGAATAAATACAAAATGCAGATTTTAAATAATGAGCTTATTTACTAAGAGGAACAACATCCTTCCTGGAAATGTATGAAAAACGCTCCATCCCAAGTAACTGCCCCTCAAACCAGTTACTATGTTTGAGGGGCAGTTACTTTTTCACATAGCCCCCGGTGCTTTTGTTTACTTTTTTCCTTAATAAATGAAATCATCATGTAAAAACTGTATTTTCTGTTTACTTCAGTTACTTTTGTCCACGTGTGTTTGATCTGAAACATGCGTGTGTGACAAATATTTGAAAATCTAAGAAATCAGGAAGTGACAGGCAAAAAAAA